GATATAGATAGATAAGAAAGGAAGGAAGGAAGGAAGGAAGGAGAGATAGACAGACAGATGGATGAAAGAGAAGGAAGAAAATAAAAGAGATGGATGGATGGATGGATGGATGGATGATAAGGAAGGAAGGAAGGAAGGAAGGAAGGAAGGAAGGAAGGAAGGAGAGATAGACAGACAGATGGATGAAAGAGAAGGAAGGAAATAAAAGAGATGGATGGACGGACAGATGATAAGGAAGGAAGGAAGGAAGGAAGGAAGGAAGGAAGGAAGGAGAGATAGACAGACAGATGGATGAAAGAGAAGGAAGGAAATAAAAGAGATGGATGGACGGACAGATGATAAGGAAGGAAGGAAGGAAGGAAGGAAGGAAGGAAAGGAAGGAGAGATAGACAGACAGATGGATGAAAGAGAAGGAAGGAAATAAGAGATGGATGGATGGATGGACAGACGGATGATAAGGAAGGAAGGAGAGGAAGTGAAGAGATGGGAGGAAAGGAGAAGGTAGGGGAGGAGAAAAGACGAAGAAAGGACAGAGGAAAGAAAGGAAGGAAGAAAAAGAAAAGAAAAGCAGCAAAAGGAAAGCAAGAAAGAGAAAGGAAAGAAGGAAGGAAGGAAGAAAAAGAAAGAGAGGGAAAAGAGAGAAATGGAAGGAAGGAAAGGGAATGAAAGACAGAAAGAAAGAAAGAAGATAAGAAATAGCTACCAATCGTCTTCAGAGTGCATATGGATACATTTATAGAGTATTTTTCCTACTCTCTCTAAAGTGACATCACTTTCTTCTTTCTCTTAAACTATACCTTCCAATCTTCAAACCCACTAACCAACATTTCATTTCTTTTCCTCTCACCCAAAAATCCCATAAGCCAGGAAAAGGCATGCTTGCAACGTTTCCCTCCCACCCACCACCCACCCCTCTTCTAACTTAGTTGGTTTCCCAAACTCACCCAACTGGAAGAAGGGTTGAGTACCTTGCCTTGCTGGCTGGGGAATCCTGGGAATTGAAGTCCACCCATTTCCTTCTCCCCCCACAGACCCTGGGTTTTTTTCCCCCTCACCATCAGGAGGAAGGTCCCCAGAGCTTCTGCCAGACCCTGACGGACCGTTTCATTCCGGATGGTCACCAGGCTGACTAATTTTTCCAACATCTCGCTCACCGGCCTCCAGATACGACTTCTGTTGGGAAGGAAGACGTCATTCTTACAGACCATGGCGTTTGCAGAGGCTTCAAACACGCTCGTGTCCTTTCATCTCCTCCAGATACTGCCTACCATCGGGTTAAAGTCTAACCGGTCAATTGAGCATCTGCTGTCCTTACCTAGACCTCTCCATCAGCCCGCCTCTTCCTCCTGTCACCATCTCCTGGGCCACCACAACGCAAAGGAGTCGCCAGGCTTTGCAGCATTATGACCTCAAATCCATTGTGAGAAAAAGGCGGGCGGCCTCCAGGAATTCTTGCAGCATCCACGACGAAACCTGAGATTTGCAAGGGGCTGTGAAGGATGGAAATTAAATTCAACAACGTTCGTGTGTGTTCCCCTCCTCCTCCCCTCCACACACACACAAACACACTGCTTGTCTCAGAGCGACGAATGGAAAGATCAGCTTGGCATCTATTCACAGGGCTAACTATAGACGTTGATAACATCGAGAGATCGTATCATGCTCTAATTGTAGCCCAGATAATTTTATTATCTTGGTCCCCGGAAAATGATGTCAAAACCCATGTCAGAAGGGGGCAATTAATGACATAATTATATATGTATTTCAGAAGGAAATTGTACCCGTGAAACTATAACAAAGGGACATCACAGAGGAATAACTGGGAGAGTTACTCAAAGCTGGGACGTGACCTTCATCCTTTCATCTTGAAAACAGTGGAACACACTGTAATTTTAGGGTGAGTTAGACCGGTATAATGACATAACAAATTGCAAAATTATCCCACTTGTAAGGCAAGGCCAGAAATGAGAACAATAAACCTATAAACCTATAAACC